TGTTATTGTCTTATGTGTGCACGTGATTCACGTGGTAAATAATTTATTTGAAGACTTGTTCCAATCAAGTTAGCCAACTTTAATGAAATATGCTTGAGACCGAAGTTTTATAATTTCTTATGATAAACTAAAAAAAGTGGTCGGTGGTAACGTGAAAAGAACTATGTTTCTAAAGTAACCATAGCTCTGTCCTTTTGTGTATTTTGCAGTGTCATAGATAAACCTTTATGTAATTCTGCGAACATAAGAGGAAGGGCTTATCGGTGCCTGCACTGTAAGGGGAACGGGAAAATGTAATTCATTCTTCAATCAGATGGAGGATCATGTGTATAAGTATCATGTTTCGAACGATATGCAACCCTATTGCGTTTGTTTAGTTGTCGAACCAAGGAGAGGCTCTACAGTCACTTGAAAACTTATGCACGACACAGAAACGTCATTGAAGAGGAAGGTGTAAAATTATCTAGACCATATTTTGTATGTAGTTTGAACCCTCATGTGGTATTCAGTAACGATACAGACCTAAGCTTCAAGGCAGTTGATGGTACATGTATGTTGTTTAATGCCACTGAAATACACTTAAAATTATAATGCGTTATCTTCAAAGTAGGGTTTTAAAATCCCTTAAAATAGCCACCAGGTCATGCATACGCCAATTGCCTTTATACTAACATTTCTTTCATTCGGATATTGCAGCAAGATTTAAAATATAAATTTAATGACAGCAGACATATAGCTTAAAATTACACAAGTCGTGATTCAATAAACATTTTCACCTATACTCAAGGATGCAAGTCAGGTGAGCAATCATTGCCCTCTTGAAATATATGGAACTAATTACATGTGAATGCGACCCTTATGTAAATGCTTTTGTAGTAGGTGCCACTGCAGCACTCTCAAAAGAAAAGTTAGTCTTGAGTGTTTAAGAAAGGGATAAAAACAAGCTATTATCATAGTATTGCAAGCAATCCATAAGTCCCCTACCGGTTAGAACCCAAGCAACATACTGTTAGGCCATTGGCCATTCAATTTTACCAGTGAATGAATGACATGAATGAACTTTGATCTTTTGAGTTCTAAGTTTGTCTATATCACAGTAATGTGTTAAGTTTCCCTGCCTAGTAAGGAAATTATGTTTATACAACCTTGTCATATTATTACTATGTGGGATTTCAAAGTAAATCCTAGAAGGAATGAAGAAGTTGGAGTAAAAAATACCAATTTCTCGAAAAAATCTAAGTTCAAGTGGGACATAATTCCGGAAATAGTCTTGCTAGAGTATTTAACCTTCTCAAAAATGTTGAGTGATAATAATAAACATATATGATTATGAAGTTTGAAGTAGATACATTAGGAAATAAAGAAGTTATTTAAAAAAAGAGGGCCATGTTGGCCCTGAGGTCGCTCAACTGTATATAGACCCCCAGGCCAATTTTTACCCAAGGGCTTTAATTTGTTTATTTGAACAGACTTGGTAGACACCCATAAGAAGATGTTCATGCCTAAAAATTTAAGTTCTAGCTCAATGGCGTTTTTTTTAAAAGAGATTTTTAAAAAGTTTTTACTATACAACAATATAGTTAAAAAAACAATGACACCCCTGGGGCAGGGCCAGTTTTGACCCCAGGGCTTTTATTTGAACAAACTGTGTAGATGTTTACTTAAAGATGTTTAATGCTTAATATCTAAACTCTAGCTATTTGGGTTCTTTAAGAGAAGATTTTATAAGTTTTTTTCTATATGCATAAAGGGAAAATCTATGACCCCCTGGGGCGGGGTCAATTTTGACCCCAGGGCTTTTATTTGAACAAACTTGGTAGACATTCACTAGAAGACGTTTCATGCCAAATATCTAAGCTCTAAGTTTTTGCTATACACATATAGGGAAAATCAATGACGCCCCCGGGCGGGGCCAGTTTTGACCCCAGGGCTTTTATTTGAACATACTTGGTAGACACCCATAAGAACATGTTTCATGCTAAATATCTTAGTTCTTGCTCTTTGAGTTCTTTAAAAGAAGATTTTTTTAAGTTTTTGGGGCGGGGCCAATTTTGACCCCAGGGCTTTTATTTGAACAAACTTGGTAGACACTCATTAGAAGATGTTTCATGCTAAATATCTTACCCTTAGACTTGTCTTTCATTCTCATCCTTTTCCATTGTGTAAAATGTTTTGTTTGTTATATATTTGTATGTATGTACATTATATATACTTTCGGGAATAAATATGTTTAAACAAAATATCTTAGCTCTAGCTCTTTGGGTTCTTTAAGAGAAGATTTTTTAAGTTTTTTTCTATATGCATAAAGGGAAAATCTATGACCCCCTGGGGCGGGGTCAATTTTGACCCGAGGGCTTTTATTTGAACAAACTTGGTAAGACATTCACTAGAAGACGTTTCATGCCAAATATCTAAGCTCTAGCTCTTATGGGTTCTTTAAAAGAAGATTTTTAAGTTTTACTATATGCATATAGGGAAAAAATCAATGACCCCCTGGGGTGGGGCCCCAATTTTGACCCCAGGGCTTTTATTTGAACAAACTTGTAGACATATCACTAGAAGATGTTTCATGCAAAATATCTAAGCTCTAGCTCTTACGGTTCTTTAAAAGAAGATTTTTTTTTAAAATTTTTACACTATATGCATATAGGGAAATCAATGACCCCCCGTGGCGGGGCCAATTTTGAACCCCGGGGCTTTTATTTTGAACAAACTTGGTAGACACTCACTAAAGATGTTTTCATGCCAAATATCTTACCTCTAGCTCTTTGGGTTCTTTAAAAGAAGATTTTTTTAATTTTTACTATATGCATATAGGGAAAATTCAATGACCCCCGTGGCGGGGCCAAATTTTTGACCCCAGGGCTTTTTATTTTGAACAAACTTGGTAGACACTCACTAGAAGATGTTTCATGCCAAATATCTTACCTCTAGCTCTTTTGGGTTCTTTAAAAGAAGATTTTTTAAGTTTTTACTATATGCATATAGGGAAAAATCAATGACCCCCTGGGGCGGGCCAATTTTGACCCCAGGGCTTTTATTTGAACAAACTTGGTAGACACTCACTAGAAGATGTTTCATGCCAAATATCTAAGCTCTAGCTCTTAGGGTTGTTTAAAAGATATTTAAAGATTTTTCTTTCGGTTGCCATGGCAACCAGAGTTCTGCATGGAATTAAATTCTTTGAACAATTTTAAAAGTTGACCACCAAAGGAACATTCCTGTGAAGTTTGGATGAAATTGGCTCAGTGGTTTATGAGGAGATGTCATTTAAAGCAAAAGTTTACGGACGGACGACGGACGGACGAAAAGCGATCACAAAAGCTCACCCTGTCACTTTGTGACAGGTGAGCTAAAAAGGCAATATTTTTTTCATAAAAATTCTAAATTCAAGGGAGGTAATACTGATAATTTTTGTGCTAGAGTTGTAAACCTTGTCACATGATGTGGTTGATGACCAGAAAATTATATTTAAAGTTTGAAGTAAACACCTTAAGAAATAAAGAACTTATAGTGAAAAAGCTGAAAAATTTAAATCAGAAATCTTGAAATTCAGGCTTTTTTTTTGCCATAGCAACCAGAATTGTCAACATAGGAAGAAAAAAAAAAGATGTGCATAATCTCCAGACTGCCATTTACCCATATTTCAAGTTTCATGAAAATATTTAAAGTACTTTTTGAGTTACCACTGGATCCAGTTTATGTGTTAAATTTGGCATATTTTCAGACTATTTGTTGCCATAGCAACCAGAATTTTTAACATAGGAACAAAAGACAAGAGCAATCAGTAATCACGTGTCGCCTCATAATGGCCAATTTCATGTTGGGACAAATTTTGTGACAGACGGACAGACAGTGCACAACTAGACTTGGTACTGATCATTCCTGTAAAGTTTGGATGAAATTGCACCAGTAGTTTATGAGGAGTAGTCCGGACAAGCTATTGTGTATCTGGCAACACACAGAAAAAGAAACCTTTTTATCAAAGGGACATAACTCGGCCAAAAATCATTCAACCGGAAAACCCTTGCAATATGCGCAAGGACTTGAGCTACAGATCAATCCTGTAAAGTTTCATTGAAATTGCATAAGTGGTATGAGAGAAGATGTCCGGACAAACTTTAAAATTAAAAAGTTATTAAAGGGCCATAACTCTGACAAAAATCATTGAACGGGAAAATGCTGACAATATGCACAACTAGACTTGATACTGATCATTCCTGTAAAGTTTGGGTGAAATTGCACCAGTAGTTTATGAGGGGTAGTCCGGACAAGTTTTGTGACCGACGGACGGACGGACAGACAGACGACGGAGAAGTGATCCCTATATGTGGCCACTACTCCGTAGAGGCGACACAAAAAAGACCTGCATAATCTCCATACTGCAATCTATCCAAATACCAAGTTTCATAAAAATATTTTCAGTACTTTTAGTTATCACTGGATCCAGTTTATGTGTTAAATTTGCCATATTTTCAGACTATTTGTTGTCATAACAACCAGAATTTTCAATATAGGAACAAAAGAACAAGATGTGCATAATCTCCATCTATCCATATACCAAGTTTCATAAATATATTTTTAGTACTTTTTGCGTTATCGTGGGATCCAGTTTTGTGGACGGACGGACTGACAGAGGGTAAACCTAAAGTCTCCTCTGGTTAAACCGGTAGGGGACTAATTATATTTTCTTCAGCAAGGTACAAGATAAATATACAGACCCCCAAAAAAGTTAAGTAAGGGGGGGGGGGTGGGGGGGGGGGGGGGCTTGTAATTACACAGAACTATACATTATTTATCTGCAATAAAAGTCTGGGTAGTTGCAATCATGATGATCTATCCATTGCGTTTTAGGGCTGAAATCCAGTGGCATGCAGTTATCAATGTTAGCCTCTATCGACTGTCCACATTATTGACACCGTGCACCCTGATTACAAATTCAATACATGTATACTCCAAAAGGAGCAGGCGACTGAAACTGAATAAAGACTAAGAAAGAAAACTTTTTTAAAGAATGATTTATTATCATAACAATTTGATGAATTGTCAATGATGATATATCAGATGATAAATGTGATAATGCCAGCTTAAACAAATATTTCAATGGTATCAACAACAGCTTAGAAATGTACAACTGGACATATGATAAATAACGAGTGCCATTCCATTTAACATTGCTTTTGGACTTCTACAATTCTACAAATTCATTTCAAGCAATGAAGTAAAAATAAAAGTGAAAATTGCAGTCTGATTGAATTGGTTTACGAGATAATGGAAAATTCAACAATGAACATCTCTCACTATTGTATTCTAGCATATTTAATTATCAATCAACAATGCAATAAAGTATTAGAATTGATGGCCCACAAGGGTCCAGATTTTTCTTTTTTTTACAGAATTGTTTGCCCAGTGTTTCTTAGTTAAAATAATTTTTAAAATACAAAACAAAAACATATGTAAAACAAAAGATAAAATGAACACATTTTTCCTTCTAAAATAAAATTCATCAACAGCATTCACCATGTACGCAGTGCATTTACAAATTAAAATCCACTTGCATATACAAACAGACTCACCGAGTTATTTTTTTTAGCAACATTTGGCTATTAGTGTTAATTTGAAACTTCAAAATTTCTTCTTTTTTTTTGTTGTTTTTTAATTTTGGCCAAAAAATAATCCCACTTGGTCACAAGTACATCTTCCACTAGATCTCCAGTAATTTTCATGAAATATTACTAGGTAAGTACACTTTAAAACAGTGAAAAAAATTTTCTTCAGTTATTCCGTCATATTTGTGTATACTTTACCCTTGTCTGAATTTTTTCTTTTCATCCACTGTACTTACACCACATTTGAGTGTAGTACTTATGTACTTATTTAGTATTTATTTATAACCATGCGCCCCATCACGGGACCACTATTTTATCACTGTAATGTACTTTATATGTCTTAATATGTTTTATGTTTTAACGTCCCTATCTCAGTCACTATCTGGTTCTTGCTTTACTTTCTTCTTTTTCTTCTTCTTCTTTTCTGAGGTGGGCTCTTCCATTGAAACTTCTGCTACAACTGTAAGAAATACAACACCATAAATGTCAGGTCTTTTTTTCTTCATCAAAGTGTAAAACATTAGCTGTACATACTGAATCAGCATCTATTCTAGGAGGGGGTATTCACCCATATTTTTGACAATTCCCTCCTATTTTTTCAGAGGCTGGGGGAAAATTTTACATATAGAAAGAAGGAAAAAGATCAGCAAATGTAATAAATTCTAACTTTTCAATAAACATCCCCCGTTTTTCGACTGCTGAATAAGTATTACCAATTTGATAGTATGAACTACAGATGTTATTAAAACAACGTTTAAAAAACTGTAGAAAATGAAGGCCTGCCACTGCAAAATAGTAACCGGTTATTTGAAGAAGAATATTTTACATCATTCAAAAATCTGGAAACAAAGTGATCCCTCGGAAGCATTAATCACAACAAGATTACAAGAGAATTGCAGACTCGGTTTGATTGAGTCTGTACATGAGGGATAATGAATATGTGCAGACTGTTTTCTTTTTACGCCACTTTTTAGTTCGAACCACTTAACATGCTTTCCTGGAGAACTAACCAGTAATTTCCGCTTTTCTCCTCTCTTGATCATATATTAATTCATTACGATTTCAGAATCAGTGTGGCAAAAAGAATTGAGGGCTTGGTGTGAAGGGGTCGTTCCTCATATGAAATAAAGGAGTTAAGACCCTTTCACACCAAACTGTCGAAATGTCCATTACATTAAATTTTTGTCATGGAGAAACTTTCCTCATACGAAGACTGATCCAGCAAGCCCTTGATTACTAATCAGATGCTCTCCCGATCAGGCTACATGTACAGGTAATGCAACTATTCGCCCAAGAACGACTCATCCCACTATATATTAAACATCATCTTAAGCATTTGGATTGAAACATGTATATGGTTTATTGGTTTGGATGTTCATTTTAACATATATTGCATTTATTTTTGCATATATTTCGCATATCTATATCTTTTATAGAGTATATCTTTTATAGATTATCAGTCACATTTCAACAAAATGATGCATAGTAGCCACTTGAAACACTTACCTTCTTGTGACACATCCAAGCTCTGCTTATTCTTCTTCTTTTTCTTCTTTTTAGGTTCTTCTGTATCACCATTGGTTGCTGCAAGATAACATACTGATACATATACCCTTTATATATTCCTTTGATGTTTTATGGAGAAACCCTACTGTGAAGCACTGATCTCAATTGGTTCCAAATATTTGAACACTTTGCTAATAATCAAAGGTCTTGAATTACTTAAATCATTTACCAAGAAATCAAATTAACAATTTTTATTTTCCTATAAATAAATTTGTGAAACAATGTTCTCTAAAAATCGGTTAAACCTATCATAGCTGGTCAAAATCATCATTCAAATAATGAGTAACATAACAGGAATTAACACATCAAGAAGTACAAAAGGACTGGTACATAAAATCACAAAAACGGACAAAAATGTCATTCTTTCCTTACCTTCTGGTTCAACTTTTACAATTTTTGGTTTGACCTCTTCTTCATCATCATCATCGTTAAACTTTCGTTTCTGTGGTACGGCAGGTAATGTACTATCAGCTGTGTCATTGTATTTTCTTACTTGACTGAAAGAATAAAATTTACAATACATCTGAAATTAACTGCTTTATTCTCCTATGCTGTATGCTTACTTTAGTTTAGCTATAATACTAGATAAAATTCCTATGAAATTTAACTGCTACATTCCCATAGGCTGGATGCTAATCTTATACTTCAAAGGTTATTTTCTCGGAAACTCCCTAGTATTATGTACTTTATTTGTATGCTCACTAGCTTATGCTTAGCTCATAAATGCAAAAATACTACATTCATGGATGCCATGAAAAACATAATTAACTTGCTTATATCAAATATTCACTGAGCCAATGCTCTCTGCCAAAGAAAATGTTTAAATTATGACAACTACATGAATATAAATGCTCATTCTGTAATGTCTTTTATAGAAAACTGCAGAAAATATTTTGTTCAATTAGCACTTTTTCTAGAAAGTTTTATAACCCGAAGGATAGTCTCCCTTTTTTAAAACATTGTCTCAGTGAGATAGATTTTTAATCAAAGAATTTTTCATTTGTCCCTATCTATCTCTAAATCATCATGAACAATGTTTTATTTTGACAAAGATTATTTCAGGAGGGATGACTCCATTCTGTGTAATTTTGTGAATGCACTTATTGTGAGATTTTGTTAGGACCTGGAATATTCGTCCACAAATAGGGAAATGTGAGCTGGGTTTTAGACTGTCCTCGGGAGGTTAATCCAGCTCAGTTAGAGAGGAACCACAGGTCAAGATATTTGGTTCAAATTATTTTTTAGGATTCTCTCCTACATAACTTACAGTATTAAAAGGAAAATGATTAAGATCAAGTTCATTAATTGGCTGTTCAATTTCTCAAAAATCAAGAAAAAACTCCCACTTGAGCAGACTTAAGACCAGTTTGGAAATTTGCAAGAAAGAACACTGATGTATGAAAGATTCAAAATAATCATATTAATAAATAGGTCGTAATAAAGACATTTATAAAAGTGGTTTTAAAATACATACACTACAAATCATACAGAGCCTTTCCAAAACATTTTTTTGCCAGATCTCTTCTTCATCAAAAGACTAGGGTGTAAACTTTTTTCTTTAGTTTAATTATAATTAGTTTAACAATAATCATGCATTTTTTTATCTATTTTTCTTGTAAACACTTGAAACATTGTTTCAGTGAGATAGAATTTTAATCAAAGTTTTTTTTCATTTGTCCCTATCTATCTCTTAATCATCATGAACAATGTTGCTCGTCTTTAATGAATCTATTTAAATGGCGGATCATCTTTGTCTTTTGAGCCAGCTAGTAACCAGAATAATCTTGAAATATAATACATTGGTTTATTGTATCATAGTTTTGGGACCTTTCTGTTGAAAATGTGTCAGAGTTAAATTGTATACATATACCTGCACAGTGCGTTAACTGGAGTGCAGGTATTAGTTACCCGCACTCCAGAGCATGCCCATTGATTGGCTCTTTTTTGCTGGGGTTTACTTATTGTAACAGCAGAGAAAAGAAAGGCAACAGAAATATCATATTTAGATGCTTGTTCATTGGTTCCTTTTTTCTGTGGTTTCATATTGTGACCATAAGGAACATGTTTTATGTTTGACTATGATACAAAAGAGAAAGAACATCAAAACACTTGGCAATCTGATTAAAACTTGGGTAGCCCCCTCGTACAAATCAGATAGCCTCGTGTTTCGATGCTCTTTCTATTACTTGTAAACTCTAGGGGTGTTACATTAATCTGCTCATACAGGTTTGGTCTCTTTTTGTTAGGGTCACTTAAATGTTTAACACAGTATTAAGTCACTTTTTAAACAGTTAACATTCTTGCTAACATTGACACTCCTATTAAACTCTATGCATATTAGACAATTAATATTATTCCTAATCACAAAATATTAAATGATCTTAAAATTCAGCTACAGTTCTTAAATTTATGATTTTTTATGAATCTGCAAATGATTATATTAACATGATTGTGTGTTTATATATTGTAGACCTCAGTGAGATAGGTTTTTAATCAAAGACTTTCATTTGTCCCTATCTATCTCTACATCATCATTGGCCATCTTCCATTTTTTTATTTTTGTATAAAAGTTTGCTTGGGGAGCGGTGGCTTAGTGAATAAGGTGTCTGTCCTTCAACCAAGGGATCATGGGTTCGAGTCTTATTCGGGTCATGACCTGTTTCTTCATATGACACCAGTCAGGAAGAAAACTAGAATGTGATTCTAGAAAGTGATTACTTTAACGTGATTAATATAAGTTGCAATAAGTTGTTTCACAATCGAGCTTATATAAATGTTTAAACAAGAAGTTTAACATGTGATTTGGTCGCATCCTTTCAACCAAAAACTGGTAATGGGTACATAATCCAGAGACATTGAATACTCAGCAGAGCACTTTCAAAGACAATGACGCTGGTGACATTTTTTATTTATTTTGCTATGTCCCATGACTTTTGTTGTACTGCAAGCGCCACTTCGCGTACCATTTGTCAATAGTAAATTAATTTTTACATGATATTTACGTGTGAACATACTGTATTGATTTTTGCACTATATATAAAGGACATATTCCGATATTTGTCTCTTATAAAATTGTGTAAGCGAATATAACGATGTGAACAGTTTAACTGCAGTCTCCTAACTTTTGTAACTTACAAGTTAATATATTGTAAGCCTCAGTGAGATAGGTTTTTAATCAAAGACTTTTCATTTGTCCCTATCTATCTCTACATCATCATAGGCCATTTTCCTTTTCTTGATATCAAGTTTACTCTAGTTACAATATAACACTAAAGCTTATAATTTGCTGGCAGGTTATGTTTTGCACAAGTGCTTTTTTCTCTCACATATTCATTCAGTTTTGCCCTTCATCTGACTTTTATATAAATATTTATTACCACATTTATTTGTTATATGTTTTTGTATTGTAAACATTCTAACTGGGAAATATATATAAACTGAATAAATATTGGAATTGAATTTTAAGTTGTGAAATGAAATCGGGTAAAGGAAAAAAACAAAAAAAATGGCCATCAGTGACCTTCCTCTTTATATAACAGAGGCCTATAAAAGGCATCTTTCCAATTCAAATTTTCTTTAAAATCATGCAGTTTTCAGAAAAAACTGAACTAACCCCAGTTTTTTACTTCCAAAATTAGCAATTTGGCAACAAAAAAAACACCCCAAATTCAAGAGGCTAATAAAGTGAGAAAAACCACTGGCAGTGTCCCTCAATTCTTTATCTGTATTTCTATGATTGAGTGAACATTTATTTTCAAAGAAATATACATAAATTCAACATTTTACAAACCAGTAGCCTAAAACAAAGCATTGCCCATGACATCACTGGTAAAACTGTACCGAACACACAGGAAAATAACTCACAATTTAAAGTTCAATGGACACAATCATGTGTAAAATCTTACTGATAAATAATAAATTCAAAATCTACAAAGAATTATGTTAACATGATTAAGAGTCCCAGCTGCAACTTGCCGATTTCTTTTGTAAATTTTTTTTCTGTGTATAATATATAATTTCCTGCTCATTACTTTCTTTCATTTATACACATGGACATATTTATATTGTAGACCTCAGTGAGATAGGTTTTTAATCAAAGACTTTTCATTTGTCCCTATCTATCTCTACATCATCACAGGCCGATTTACATTTTTTTTTATATAAAGTTCACTCTAGTTTCAAAGTAAAACTTTTTTGCAGGATTTTTTGTTTGTTACTTTTGTACTTAATCCTGGTGATATACTCTCCCTTTTAAAAATCAACATGTAACATGTACATGATGAATTTCAAAATCCTGTAATATATCACCAGGATTGTAGTACAAGTTTTCAACATTTCCAGCAAACAATTGTTACCTTTTGTTCTCGTATTTCTCCCATTTAGAGATGGCCTTTCCACTTCCACTTATTCTTCTTGACTGAAATCAGAAAATGTGATTTTTGAAAAAGCCTGTTGTGTCACCAGGGATACTAACAAACACTCCATTACCAGGGAAACTATAAAAATTCTTCTGCTATTAACATGCCTATGTTTTCGTTAAATTTTAATGGGCCAATAAAATAGTTGTCCATTTTGTACTTCTTTGAACCAGATGTAACATTAAATTTTTCATCAGATGTCATTTCACTAAAATCAAGACTTTGGGAGTACATCGAAAGTGATACACATCAACACATCACTGACATCAGTTATAACTTAAGTGCAAAATCTTAAATAATAAAAAGCTTAATTGACCCTTTTAATAACAATTTTTCAAATGTCTTTAAAAATTACTAAGATGATCCAGAGTTCCATAGAAAACTTCTGATACTGCCAGAGCGTTCTTGAAAAAAAATTATTTCCTTTCAAATAATACACTCACCTTTCCTTCTTCTAATTCTCTGACCCTCCTTTCTAGTTTAGCTCTATGCTCAAGACCCAGCTCAGCGTTGGTGGTCTCACCCAAGGCATCTACTCTGATAGCTAGAGCAGTTTTAGCTGCCAACATTCTAGACATCTGTAAATACATAACCATATAATTTTTTTTTTAAATTCATTTTAATATATCCATACTGCTATTTGCTATACATGTATATTAGTTGTTTATAATAAGATATTTATTAACCTACTATTCATTGTTTAACTATCCATTGATCTCATGATTTTTATAGAACTTGCTCAACATTCCTGACCAATCAAATAACCAAGATCCAATTTCAACATTCCTGACCTTAAAATACCTAAGATCCAAGTTTGCGCAAGAGAATTTCTTTCTATTTCCTTAGACCCTTGGCTATACCTTCAACACTTCTTGCAATATAATGGAATCTTTATGGGCCTAAGATGCCAGGTCAAGGGTACAGGCCAGCAATCCCCCCCCCCACCCCCATTCTGACTTGCTCTTTTAAGCTGACAGATAAATATCTTTTTAGGAAAGTACATTAACATCAGTCCTATCATTTTAAGCTTCATTATGTATCATATAAATAAAGGCTCTATGATATCATCATCATATATAATGTACTATCCTTTCACAAATCATCATGTAACAAATACATGTTAAACCCTGCATAATAATGAACCAATTCCAATTATTTACAAATTGGTTCAAGTTTCTAAGTTTAATAATTATGATCAAGTAATCATTGATATCTAAAGTGGATTGGTCTATATTGGACACATTTTCCATAATTATTTCAAATACTGACAAAAACAATAGAAACATATCATTTGGATATTCTTATATAATATTTCATTAATGAAAAACAAGTTTTTAAAGATCTAGTATGAACATAATAAAATAGCCTCTAGAACAGATCAACAGATTTTCTGCTATAAAAATATATGCTGAATTGGATCATGTAACATATTGACCAACAATATTATTATATATAATTTTTCTGTGATGTGTCATCGTATATAATACTTAAATTAAATACTATCAACATCATACTTTCCATTATGCACCAATTCACTATAAGAAATTATTTTGGGTAAAGAAATTATAGAAACGTTTCTGGTTTATGACCCCAAAAAGTTGATATGTACATAAAAATTTCTACTTTATAAATTGTATTATGTAGGAAGACCTTGGGTGCCCCTTTGTGAAATATTCAGTCAACAACACTTGAACAGGCGAATAGAACCACTGACGTTCTGTAAGCTAGCTGAATATCTGAAACTTCTTGTACCTGACCCTATAGTCCAGTAAAATCTAAGTTATAACTGGTCAAATAAGTTGGGACATTTTAAACGGCAAAGACTTCGACCACAGAATCATTCTCATATCTCATAGAGTCTATGTCTCACTTAGGCAGACAGATAAATATCTTTTTAGGAAAGTACATTAACATCAGTCCTATCATTTTAAGCTTCATTATGTATCATATAAATAAAGGCTCTATGATATTATCATCATATGTAATGTACTCTCCTAAAGTTCACAAAATAGCAGTGTAAGAAATTAGGATTTCAATCGACTAGGCTTGTCGGACTACCAGATTGGAATATGCACTAGCCCAAAAGACATTTCAATAGCACGATTCATTTGTTCAAAACAGTATTTTATATTGCCTCTGAAAATACAGTAGCCTGGTCGGGCTTGTTTCTGTGAAAAGTTGGTAGCCCGAGGAGAAACTTAGTAGTCTGGGGCTATAGGACTACTGCTAATTTCGAACACTGAAATAGTCTATGTTTCGCATCCCAGGAGCAGCAAAATCAATATAGCCAGTATTGCCCAGGTTGTACTACAGCCAGTACGGACAAATGGAAATTTTCATGAATTTACTATATAAATATCATACAGACATGGAAATGCTTCTGATAAATAAGGACAAATCTGTCAAAATAAGATTTTGTCAGCCCTGCATGATCCCCTCAAAATCCTCAACAAATCCTGCTTATTTCCACCCTTTCCATTTTTCCTAAGGTTAACAAGACAGTACCATACAGTAAGAGACATAATGGCTGGCTAAATGGCTTCTACATATGGAAGGGTACCAGAGCTGTACTATCTATGCAAATGTTTAAATCTTGTTTCTCTACGCCATCCCTCCCACACCCGTTCATGTTCCGATTTCTTCTATTCCTGGCTTGTCTATGCAATTTATTCTCATCCCTTGGCAGAATCGGTTTATATGCATTATGTCATAAAATTTCTATCCTCTTCTTGTTTTAAAAATTGTCTTAATTTTTAATGTAATTCAGACTTAATTTCAAGGCAGTTTTAGGACAAAATTTCAAAATGAAGGCCCTGAACTTAGTTTCAAGGCAATATTAAAAGTTTTTTTAGTCTTAAATTTCAAAATGATTTTGAACTTTTCTGTTAAAAGCAATTTTGGACAAAAAAATGTTCATGGGGGAATTTGGACTAGATGGAACTTCTTTAATAAATCAACCTTACATCAGTCCTATCATTTATAAGCTTCATTATTTATCATATATTATAAGGCTCTATGATATTCTCATCATCTGTAAGGTGTGATTTAGTCTAGTAAGATTTTTCTGACTTGAAATAAAAAATAACTTGGCCTGAAATAGAGACAAATACAGGCCTTCTTAAATTGAAAAATAAAAAATTGATAATTCCCAATATTATCTTGAACTAAGTATTCCCCCCAATCAGCTCCATTTAAAGATATCAATGTCAAAGCAGATAATCAGGTTGAAATATCAAAATTTCATATCGCTCCTGTCCACAAAGATATTACTCCTTTCCAAAAGTCTGGTGGTGAGCCATCATATAAAGTTCAGTAAAATACAGCAAGTCAGAGATATTCTTAAGAGTAGAGGCTTACCTTGCCCTTAATTTTAGCGTTTGCCTGACCAACCAATGAGGCATGATAGATAAGACCATATTTGGGTGTGTCATGCTTGGTTTTCAAGGCTCGGAAAAGTGCTTTCTCTGCTCCCAATATCTGTACCGTACTTGCAGGATGTTTAGCTAAATTCATTAGTGAACCTGTGAAAAAAAAGTTTATTTTTTTATACAAATATGGATTTTTTGGTCTGGTTTTTTTTTTACATATGTATATATAACACATTTTTAATCAACAGTCAGCCATTTTCCTAGAGAGCTTATAACCGGCTACTACAAACTCTTCGTAATTTTGTCTTGTTTTAACAATGATTTCAATGCATTATTGTCATATCCAGGTGACCACTAGACTTGATGTCCCGATATCAATTGTCGTGGAGTAAAAGTTCACACTTAACTGGAGGATCAAACCTGTAAGACCAGGCTTACTATGGGAGAAAGTACATCTTGTATCAGTCCTATCATTTCAGTGTCATGGTTATCTCATAAAACATAGGCTCTGATAGTTCATCATGTACAAAAGTTCTAACCGCAAAATCAAACTTCAACCAATCATTAAGGCAATTGCTCAGCCAAAGAAAGAAAAGTCAACTAATTTACTGACTATAATTCAATCATAATATTTCTTATCATATCAGGGCTTTTTTTTCAATTTTGGGGAAAAGGTCTGGCCTTTCAATAGGGGAAAAAATGCGCGAAAATTGACATTTTGGGGAAAATCTCTTACATTATAAAAATAAGTCAATAACTTTAAAATAAACAATAAAAACATGGAACAAAAGCCAGGTGTTTCATGAACAATGCAAACAGTTCAGATCTCAGAACCATCTTCTTGACCTTGAATTCCTTTTACATACAAAACCACTTAATTTAAGTTTGAATCACTTGAGTTAATATCATTTGTGGTGTTGCCAAGCTTCAACATTGCTGTTACCTCCTCACACACCTCCCCTGTTTACTTCAGAATGGTTACATTGATTTTTCTATGTAAAAACTGCATAAAGTGCTAAATCAATTAGATGATGATTCTCAAAGGACATTTTGACACTAAATGCATAAAAAATAATTGATTATTTTATGTTTTGTAATTTATTTACTTAAACTAACTCATTCCTCTCAGAATTCCAGCCGAAAATCAAACAGGAAGTAGGTCGCGAAAATATGTGATAATAGAATATTTTGCCGATTTTTGGTATAAATATAACTCCATGTTCCTCCAGACTATGATTAAAATCTTTAAGAATAAATAGTATAACATATTTTTACAAATTTCTGCCTATTTTGAGTGGAATTTTCACAAAGACAATGTTTAGAGATTTTATCAGCGTAAGGGAGAGGGTTGCCGACCGTCGGCATTTGACTTCTTATTTGCAGGACAATCATTATATCAAACACTGTAGGCCCCCAAAAAATCTGAACTATTTGAACAAAAATGTGATTTTTTAAAGAAACAAGCTATAATAGTTGATTTTATTCTGACCAAGGGGAATTTTTTTAGCTCAAGGGGATTTTTTTTTCAGCTGGGGAAGTAGCCGTTAAACGGCTACAGTTATATAGGAAAAAAAAACCCTGCATATAAACACCAAATTAAAACCTGTAAAAATATCTTTACCTGCATGCGATATTAATCTAGCACCGACTAATTCACCAACAAGTACTGTTAAGTTTGGAGCAATAGCTACCATTCTGTTCTTTATATAGTCATATAACTGTGCCCTATATTCTGTTATATCTATCACCTGCAATGAGAAACAGTTACACAACATCATTTCATTATCCTTGCAACAAAATTCAACAATTGGGAATGTATATCCAGGTGTTTTTTTTATGTTTCAATCAGTATCATTTTTTTGGTTGTTGCCACAATGGAAATTATTTATGTATCTCCAAGTTTTTGTCTTTATTTATAATCTTTTTTTTAATGCTCCTACCAACGTAATAATTTTAACCATGCTGTCACAACAGTATTTTAACAAACTTTCACTGAATATTTAAAAGTTATCACCATTTTATTTCCAAGTCAATGAACTTGTTCAGTTACTTCTCATTCAAGTTATGACAGAACTTGAATAAATTTTTTAAAATATAATGCATAAATGTTTCAAAGATTTCATAATTTTTAATTCATAATTTTTATTTTGTAACTTTCAAATGGGAATTTTTTCCTGTGGACTGGGAAAATAATATACTATTTTCAATTGGAAATATGACCAAATATTGGCTATAAAATAAGCCAAAAAAAATCCCTGTACTAGCAACATAATTTCTCTCTATTTTCAATTGTTTTTACCTGTTCACAGAGGTATCTAACATTAATAATATCTTCATCTGAGATTTCGGTTCCCATGGAGATTTCAGCCGCATCTTTAACTTCTTTTTCCACCTCTTCAGGTAAAATCTTAGAAAAATCGGTGTTTACTGCATTTGTTCGAAATCCTGGAAAACAAATAGAGAAGAAACTGTTTAATGAAATTTGTAAAAATTTTAATCAGGGAGAGGCCAAACATGCATTAAATTACATTGCAGTCACCTCAGAGGTAGTGACGAACTTACAACTTTCAACAGAGTTAAATTCTGTTCAACGGTAAATATACATCATTGGTGACAAAACTAAACTTTACAAAATCTGCTAAGAGAGTTAAGCTTGTGAATTACTATAGACTTTACATACACATTCCAGTAGTGAATATTTGAATTTTTTTGAAAGACCTGTGGTCTTCTAAAGGGTAAAATTAAGCATAATTCATAAAAGGCGGAAAACCTGAAATCAAATTTCAACAACTGAGAATGAAATTTACCCACATTTTATAAAAAATTTAATTTCACTTCAATTTAAAATGCATCATACATAGGGTAAGTGTTCTGTTTTTCAGTAAATAAGATTAATCAACTAGCCGATACAAGTCAGCTGCTGTTATCACATTTATGGTGAAAAAATGTGAACATGGCCTTTTAGGGGTAAATATACAGCATTTAGCATTTTTAGGGGGAAAAGATACATATTCTTGGCTAGGGGTAGCAGTCTTTATTCAGCTATAATAGACAGAGGAGGGGGGGGGGTTTAAAAAAATCACTGTTCAGTCACCTCAGAGGTAGTGACGAATGTAATACCTTTCAGCAGTATCGTAATTCTGTTTAATAGTTAATATACATCACTGGTGACTAACTGAACTTTTTAATCTAACACGGTCTATTCTACAAGAAAAAATTCTGCAGGATTCTAACATTTAAAACAAGTTCTAATATTTAATTAAACAAAAAAATTTTTTTTTTCCTTGTAAATCTTATTATAAGTGCCGAAATTCAGAAAAAAAATGTTTCATTTAAAAACTTAAGTTCAACGTTTTCTTTATTTCTTAATGCAGACAAATTGTTGCTAAATAAAGCGTTTTAACATAACTCCCTCTAATATAAAATGATACAAGATTAAACAGGGTTCATACAGACCATCCAAGACAAAATTCAAGGACTTTTCAAGTATTTCAAGAACTAAAATATGTGACACACTAAAGACAAATATGTGTAAAAGGGTGACAATGTATGAAATTAGAGTTTTACATGCAAATACCTGTTGAAGTACTATCAAATTTATGAAGATTTTTCTAAGTGTGCAAGATTCATTCAAAGTGTTCAAAAAGTCAACTCAAAAATAAATAGATTATCAAATTGTATTATTCATTTAGACTTAGACTTTTTAAAAACATATAGCCCACAAATCAATACCTTTCACCCATGGATTAAACTTCTACAACCTTATCACAAGCGCTCCACATCGCCTTTCTTTTATCACCCTTGAATTCTTTAATGAAAGGGTATTTTTCTACCCATTTTGGCGAGAAATTACACTTTATGTTCATTTTTTGATGAATCACCCCAACCGGTCCATGAAATTTACACGTCATGAATATTTCAATCGTGTATAATCGCCAATACCCGTTCCGTACCGTCTTACTATCTCATTACGAAGTTGTATTTTTTTAAAAAAAATTGATGTGTATTTGAGTTTTTCTCTTTTTTTTTTGGCCGCTGTTTTACTCATTTTAGTCATTTTGTGGTTCTTAATGAGGAATACTTGGATTACTGAACAAAATTCTCAAGTTTCCTGTAAAATTCAAGGAGTTTTCAAGGACTTTTTCCCAGGACAAATTCAAGGAGTTTTCAAGGACTAACCACCAAATTCAAAGACTTTTCATGGCCTGTGCAAACCGTGTTTAATCACCCATGAATTTTAAATCCTAGAATAGGCATTTAACTAAAAACCAAATATCATCAAAGGCAAAATCATCAAAGGAGGAAGAGGGATTTCGGACTTCATGGAACTATTTGAGTGAATTAACCTTACATCAGTCCTATCATTTAAGCTTCATTATTTATCATATATTATAAGGCTCTATGATATTCTCATCATCTGTAAGGTGTGATTTAGTCTAGAAAGATTTTTTTTGGAGTGAAATAGGGCTCCAAATACAGGCCTTTATGAACTGAGAAACAGTTGATAATTCCCAAAATATTATCTGGAATATTCATCCAAAAAAGAAAAGATTTCCGAAAAGTTAATTTTTTAAAGATATTAATGACTAAAACAGGTAACCAGGTTGTAATACCAATATTTCAGAAAGCCTACTTCAGCCTACTTTCTTTAATAACATTTAGAAACAAAGCTGAAATGAAGACTTACCCATTAATTTGACAACTTTAGCGAAAGCAAGATTATCTTGTACAATTTTCCCCAACTCTGGGAAATGCCAACCATACCATTCTCTTGCTCTCATAACATAGTTGTTTAGTTCTTTATCTAAATCATCAAGTAATGCTGAAAAAAGTAACAAAATAATGAAACAACATCAGTAAAATATTAGTACACTATTAATAAAAAGGCACATTTTGTTGAATGAATAGACTCCTGGATAACTAACCAGTAACCAATTTCACCTTGTGACAAACTACAAAGTCTGTGCGATATCAAAGTCAACTATGAGATACAAACGAACAAAGACTGTCCAAAATCAATTGTCACACAAGGATACCTTGCCTGGATTACTCATCTGTTATTATTGAACGAAGAGGAAGGAAAAAATGTATCACATAAAAGTACTTACAGATAGCCTGTACAATCATAGTATCTACTTTATCTGGACTGAACTTGAGCTTGTATCGTGATAAACTGAAAAGTAAATATGTTAGAATAATTTCTATCTTTTACTATGTACACTCGCCAACCAAAGTTTAAAACTTTCAAAATTAAAGTCATATTTAAGATGTTTGTTTTGCTTCGTTTATTCAACACATTTAAGGTTACATGGCACCGAATCAGTCAAGATGATTTTGGCTAACCTCCGGTGTTACAAACTTAAAGCAACATCGGGGGTCAAAACCACCTCACTTGCTGAAACTAAAAGATGCATAGACTCCAGTAATTCTAATCCATTTAGTCGCTTCTTTAAGAAAAAGAATAAACCATTTTACTTTGTAGCATATTAAACCCATCATTGCCTGGGACTGAACAGCAATGGTGTAATGAGGAAATATGGGAAGTTCACTTATCAAGGCTCAAACATGGACGGGCTCCAGCTACTTGCCACATATCCATGTTATACAAAAATCTTGCTTCAGCCCTATCATTTAATATCACAAGTTCTCATTTTAAATAAGGCTCTAGATAGTGTCATCATTAGCAAGATATTTCAGTCTTTCTTCCATAAAGCAAACATTAAATAGTGTAACTTTCTCCTTCCGGAACTTCTAAAACCTGGAAACTTCTGAAATCCGAACATTTTTCAGTGTCCCAAAATTTCTCCTTCCGTTTTCTATGTAATTAAAACCTCTGAATTATGGAACTTCTAAATTCTGAATTCCGAACGATTTTCTAGTAAAAATTTAGGTTATATCAATTCAAATTTACTTCCAAAATCCGGACATTGAAAAAGGTGTGAAGGAATATTATAATTGAGATTGTAGTTTGTACAACTTTTAAAATGTTAGTATATTCCAATAAGCAGAAACTATTTATCTTCAAACCTATTAGAATAACAACCTGTCAAGCATGTCAAACACTTCATTAAAGTGTGAAAATTTAGAAAATGAGAAGTATAATTTGTTGAAAAACAAAAATTGTAGGTTAATAGCTGGTAGGCCTATTACATGAAATATACTAAATAATGATCATTATGCTTTTGTATCAACAAACTCATTTACAGGTGATAATGAATTTAATATAGTAATAAACCTTTAAAAGGTCCTATAATTTTTCCATTTTATGAATTTATTGAGTTTCATATATTTTTCATGATGTCCTACTTAAACAATTGATGTCTCATGTTACTACTTTTTCAGATAATTCCAAAATTCTGAATTCCGGAAAATTCCAAATACTAAACTTTTTGGCAAGTCCCACAGGTGTTGGGTTTTCAGAAGTTACACTGCAACTGTCTACTATATATCAACATTGCAATCTTCAATCATATATGCTCTGAATCAGTAAAGATGATTTTGGCTAACACCAGGTGTTACAAACTGAAAAGCTACACCATGGATCAAAACCACCTCACTTGCTAGAGCTAAGACATGCATAGACTTTAATAATTGAACCTATTTAGTCGCTTCTTTAAGATAGTGAAGAAAGCATGAAGCATATTTAAACCTCTTTCAAATCCTATTCTTGGAACTAACCAGCAATGGTGTTATGAGGAAATATGATGAGTACCCAGAACTAGGGCCGCTCAAACCCTAGATGCCTGGACCGACACCAGCTACTTGCAAAATATCTTTTTACACTAAAATCTTGCTTCAGTCCTATCATTTAATATCATTAGTTCTCATTTTAAATAAGGCTCTAGATAGTGTCATCATTAGCAAGATATTTCAGTTTTTCTTCCATAAAGCTTAATGTTACCTAGCAATCTTCAAACAAACATATGCAGGATATTCACAGATCTAGTAATATATGTTCTCCATTACTGAATTTACAGCATTGTTCACATTAATCCTGATAAAACAAGGTGGTATTGTGACTTTCTAGAATTATTGATGACGAAGACCCCTATTGCCTCTTTGTGCATAAATTAAGGCATCCAGACAATTGGTTTGGTTTTAAGTCACACAAACACAATATGTCATATGGTGACTTACCAGCTTTACTGCTGTAGGAAGACCTCAGGGTCCCTTCCGTGCATTATTTCAGACACCCATAGTAGAACCACCGACATTTCCTAGCTAGCATGATAGCTTCCTCACATGAAGGAAACCAAAGTCCCTGTAGGGATTTGAACTCACAGCAGTGAGGTAAAGAGTAGTTTGAAGTCAACAACCGTAACCACCTGGCCATGGATGCCCCTAAATTCATTTGATAATTGATAATAAATATGAAACATTTACCTATGTGCCAGACCTAAGGCCATGGCAGACATTTCTTTTGTTGGTAATGTGATTAGACTGTCCATCTGTGTACGGATCCCTTTCATTAACTCCTGTATGGCTGAATTTGCTACACAACTGATGTTGAACTTTTCCTAAAAACATAGAACTTTATTGTCAAAACACAACTGGATGTGCATGATAATCTTCATCCATTTGCTATGAGAAAAGCAAATAACTTTTTCCATAATAGCCGAGGGTCACAGACAAATGGTTATATGGAAGTATAGTCTTGAAAGACATTGTAAACCCCTCTTGGCAATCACCGTTGTAGAACTATCACTGTGTTGGTAACCAAGCCAAATATTTTCTCACAGAAAGCTACACAATTAGACTGGGGGAGTCTGTCTTAAATTTCACAAAAGGTTATTTTTCAAACATCTTATTGTATCAATTGTTTAATAAAGATATGTCTATCATCGCAATATTCAATGCCACTCCTTCACAAAGCATTATCTTCAAAGTTATCATTACACTATTGTACTTAGGATCATTGGCTCCTGTATCCAAAATGCAGAGAGAACACCTAAAACTAAAGACAAAGAATTATAACAACAAAAGCCTCACCTTTCTGTATATCAAAACCACTCAATTCACACTCTCATAAAAAGTTTTGGCAGAACAAAAATGTTCCGACCACTTTATTTCAAATTAAAATTTAACATTTTAAATCACCGAGTATGATGAGTGATAAAGGACTTTGTCACACCTTAATGGCGTTGCCAAGTTTAGCATCAGCTACAGCCAACTCATCCTGTATGTCCGAGGCTACCAGTTTCTTCATCACAGACTTCAGCGATTTACTCATTTTCCCTTCAACAGTTGCCGTGGCAGCTGAAATTTTAATTGCATAAAAAATTAATTTCTTCATACATTTATAAAGATGGAAAAGCGTTTACCTTTCAATATTTCTCAATTAAGAAATTACTGTTTAAAACCAATATAAATATTTCACACTCAAGAATTTTAACTGATTAATACCAATATAAATCCACAAGTATCTTACTCCAGTAATATGGTATTTTATTACTACTAAATTGCATTATATTTATAATTTCTATCTTTTATGTTCTTCTTTTTTTTTGTCCTATTCCTGCAATATCAAAGTATCATGTGTTGCATCTAGGATTTCAAAATTATGGGGGATTGCCCCCCACTCAACAGGAAAATGTGGAGGACATGCATTTATCGAACAATATGACGTACTGAAAAGAATTAATTTATTTTACGTTTAGGCATTTTTGACAGCTATCGTCAGCTTAACAATGAAAACAAAGTAAAAACAAACATGGCAAAAGTGTTCAAGATACAATGAAGATTATCTGTAAGTTGAAAAGATTGTCAAATGCGGGACTGCGCACATCGACGTCATTAAAATGAGCGATCTGTAAAAAATAAGCATAAATGGCACAGCCTAGATGCAACACTGGAAAATGTAAATAGAAATTTTCATCACGTCAGATGACATACCTGCTAAAGCTTCTGTTGTGTCTTTAAACTTCTTAAAACTCTTAAGCTTCACCCTAAAAATGGAACAAGTTTAGAACTTTTGTTATTTAATTTAGTTTAAATAAATCTTGGAAATTATGTAATGGGACAAGCATATATATGCAGAGGTTTTATTCCACAAATTTTTCGGCGAAATTCAGCCCCATTCCCTCCTCAAAATATAATGTTTTTTCCTCTCAAAGCCAAAATTTTCCCCTATTTGGGAGCCAAAATTTGCCTGCAATGAATGTATTTTTTTTTGCAATTAACTGCCGAAAATGTTTTATTTTATGCCTGTAACCTTACTTTTCAGCAAGGTTGTTTACAAATCGTTCTCAGGTAGGTAAGTGGAGCTACTCTTGGCGTCCCAACAAGTTTAACATGCAACGCGTCAATATTTTAGATCCGTATATCAAGAAAAAATGACTTATTTGCCAAGAAATGCTCCCCTTTTCTACTGGAAGGAAAACAATATAAATTAAATTTAGATTCTTACACTTCACTGGCTGCTTCTGGTGATTCAAAGTCCAAATACAAGTTCTCAACATTCTGTAGTTTCTTCTCATTCATCAACTGTGAATTATAAATCAACAAAAAATTATATGGTGTACCTCATAACTATAGATGCATTTTTTTTTCAATAAACATCCAACCCACGTGTCCCTGAAAATTATAGTCATGGAAGCACGTGGTATTAAGATTCCCATCATTTAATTTTAAAATGCGGCGATAAAACCACAATGATATAAGATAAATAGTTATAGCAGAAAAGTACCATCAGAAATACCAAGTTGATCAAGACTGTCATACCTTAAATACTGCATAACCAGCTGCTGTTTCGAAGAGCACCAACATTTTGTTTTTCTTCTTGCTCCACGAGGTTTAATAATGTTAGTACGCATGCGCGTAGACAACTGGTAATTATACTAAATGTCGTATTTTGCCGTCCCTTTTCCGTATGTGGCAGAGTTGACGTTAAGTACTGTTGTACGTTCATACGAATTCTATTTTTTTATCCCGTTCTTGAAAATGTATTTGATACTTTGAATTGTTTTTTCTGGTAATGAATAAAATATCAGTATAGATATCTGTTTAGGAAATTTCAGTACTTAATGAACAGACGGTGTGATTTAGAAGTACCAGAGACTTCTATACGGATAGCTCTGTTGAAGTATACAACACCAATTGTAACTTCTAAGTAGCCTGGGATTCAGGCGTTGATAGTTTTTGCTTATTTATAACATTTTTTTTATTCATAACATATGCGCTATTCCGTATTCGTTCGTCGTTTTGATAGTCGATTTGCCAAACAGAAACATAGACTGGAACCCAGGCTAACTTCTAAGATGTACACGCAAATCGTATCATGTGTGAAGGCTACTATTTCTTGAATTCGTAAAACTTAATACTAAATTTACAGGATAGGACCTGTTCCATTTTGCATACCTCCCACGATGACAGGTGACAGATTTCCAAATTATGATCGAGCTGTTAATGTTTTTAATGAATGAAATTCCAGAACAATTAGACCAAGTAGTACTTAACATGGAGTAATGGGGATATTGAAAAACTGTTAAGAAAATGATTATATACCTAAAAGTTTTGAAAAAATGGAGCACTTAACATCATTACTCATGATGAAAAATAATTCTTCACCGTCAGACCAAAATACAGAACAGGTTTTAGGGTGCTCAGTTATTCTATTCATTTCCAGGACATGGTTATTTCCTAAATGCTACATCTATGCTACCCGCGGCCGAACCTTTTGGTCTACCTTTATGTTAATCCCAACTATTTCAGCATTTATACTTATTTCAATATTTATAGTGTCGAAATTCTACAATGGGTCTGTTTGGAGGGAAGTGTTTTGGAGGGAAACCCGATGATTCATATAATATATAATTAAGGTCTGAATGCAAGTGTTAAATTGTATTGTTTTGAAACTTGTACATCATATCTTTGATTATTGTTGTAAAACAAAATCCTACCGTCTGTTGAATTCTATCAGAATCAATGCTCTACATGGAGAAACTTTGTTTAGTCATCTTAAAATGTATCATGTTCACTATTCTTTTTTCTTTATCATTTCTTTATTCATTTATATCCCTTAGGCATTTTGTAGTTAAACATGTGTAAGTTAGCAAAAACTAAAGGCAAACAAATCTTGATAATCGTTAAACAATAATTGTAATGGTTATCTCCCTTACATCTGTTGTAAAAAAATGCTTTTGTCTCGTACATAAATTTTTGATATTTCGATACAGGGTATTATGTAAAATGCTACATAATAAAGGTATATGTCTAGCATCTGTTTGACTGATAATTATAAATATTTATTCAAATGTATATAATAATGATATCATTACTATTGATTTGTTGATTTTTCTTTGCATATAAAAGTCTAAAGAAAATTAATTGCTTGTATTTTTTCATGACTATAATTTTTTTTCCAAACTGACGCATTTACTTGTTATGAAAAAAAATAAATCTACATTCAATGCCACTTTGACCGCACACAAGTTAACAGGCGTTGCTTATCAGTATACAATAACTGTAAAACAATACAGTTTATCTGTTCTGCTAACAAACTTATTACAGGTACAACACACATTAATTGCCACTAATTGGCGGCCTCGTTTCATCTTGCCAAGTATTCCTTTGATCTCGCCGCGTCTTCCAAATTATTTTCTTTGAGGATTAAGGTTGTTTTGATTTTCTTCTAGAAAATTGGAAGCTAGATAGGTTTAGTCTGTCACTCGAGCTTTTAGATGTTTTGATTTTCGAGCACTTTAGAATATAATGTTAGACCTTTTACTTATCTTTGTTTTTCTTACATGTTTAATCACACTCTATCAAGACAGCGTTCCTAAAAAAGAAAAGATGAAAGTCAGGAGCATTTCAGTACAGAAACGGAACATAACAAAATAGAACAGAATGGAACAAAATAGAACATTATTTGGAGCACTATTTGAAATACCCTGTTTGCAGTTATTGTATGCTCAGAGATGAGGGGGGAAAATACAAGTACATACCGAGGGATGATGTGATATAAGTAGCTAATAAATGTATAACATATTAACAATCTAATTAGATCTTTGCATGTTTAATAAAATATACACCAGATTTGGTAAGGTTTTATTTTAATATTATAATTATATTATAATGCAAAATGTATATGTCAGCACGGGTTTCTATGAAATTTCTGTGTGTAGTCAACTTTATGTGCATTAAGCAAATTAAAAGAGTGCAGAAAAAAAGTCAACCTCCGGCGGGACTCGAACCCGCAATCCCCGGCTTAGGAGGCCGGTGCCTTATCCATTGGGCCACGGAGGCGGTTACATTCGACGCCACAAATATACTATATAAAGTTTTCTATTTTTAGAATTTGGCGCCATAAGAACGGCAACTCTTGAATGATTCAATTTGAATGCGGGTGAAGAGTAATCTTCCCATTTTTTTAATCGAGCTCAACTTTTAAGTTTTAACGGCAAAAAACGCTAATATAGCGTTATAAAAAGTTATCTATAATTGTCGTTATCTGTACTTTTGATAACACCATTTCTGTCAACAGACAAGCCTACAGACTTCGTGGTAAATGGGATTTTTACTTAGCAAGTTGATCATTGTTGGCCCATTTGTGTGTTGATGACTGTTTACAGAGGCGGATCAAACTGTGGAAAATGTCTGTACGCATAAATGTATGAATTTAAGAAAAGTAAAAAAGTATCAAGATTCAAGTAGAAATTTACATGTTATACGTATATACAGTGCATGTGCGATTAAAATTTAAAATAATATAAACTTTAATTTATCAAAGACAAATCTCTTATTTCGGAATGTAATCAAAATTAAATATATAAATATGTGTGATTTTTTTTATCTTAGTCAAAACATATAAATAGTACGCCAAACATCCTATTCTTAATAACACCCGGCCCATTGGACCTATCAGAGATGTAGTATCTATCAGAGACATAGATAACATCTACGTCTCTGTATATATGTCTCTGGACATATGTATATACTCAGTAAGTCACATTTATGTATGTAAAACAGAGAGATTCCTATATATCAGTTTAACCAAAATAGTGGAAGGTCTGCACTAAAAAAAATAAAATAAATAAACAAATAAATAATTTAAAAAAATCAAATTAACTTTCATGTTTACAATGAATCTTATAGATTCTCTAAATCGATATAAATTATAAATACATAGAAAGTTTTGATAAACACATTTTATGGCTTTAATATGGATATTCATAATAATAATATAAATATCACTTTGCTCTGAATGATATAGTAGTATTTATAATTTTACTCTCAATTAAAAAGGTCAAGACTTTGTCTTAATGTCATTAATCAAACACTTTGTCTTTACTTACGTTACACTAAAAATTATGATATTGATTGTATACTATATTTCAGCCATTACTCCTGACCCGGAATTTTTATTTACTAATTAGATTAAAAGTAACTTTAGGTGAAGTACGTCCAGTGACCTATAATAATCATATATCCCTTCAGAACAAAGTATAGAATGTACTTGACGAACTTTGTAAAAACTAACACTTCAATGTCAAATAAACGTATGTTTCAAATTTTAGTAAATTAGAAATATGATAGGCCGTCGTGATTAGCACCCTTCACAAATCGGAAGAATATCAGGGTATCGGATGTCTAAATTATTGCGATAACATCGAACAAGAGCTGTAATATGTCCCCTGTATTACAATTGAATTTAGTACATAATGCCCGTTGTCACGACTTTGCGGTTGATTTGAACCCAGATTTTGTGTAAAACACAGAAATTCATAATAGAAGGACGAGTTTTTTTGCCAATATCTTTTAAAGAAGCAAAGATCTTCCCATATCTTGCATGACATGAAAATAGTTTGTATTACAGCTGGAGGATATGTGTCGATGTTAAATGCGCGGTATTTTAAAACTATATGTAATTTAAAAAGTTTAATCAAGTTGGAGGAACGGCTTTAGTTTGATGTAATGTAATTGTTGTCGTAAAAATAGATCTTTGAATATTTAGAATGTGTGGCGCAAAGTAAAATAAATATTTACAGATAATTATAAGCCTGTAAATTAAAGGGGCTCATCAACCGAGGTTTTTTTTCCTTAATGGGCGGAACTGGGAATCTTTTTTCGATATTATATAATATCACATTTGATGTACATGTAGGTCTAGCAATAACTCGTGTGCAAAATTTCAGATCGTTCGCCCACTCCGTTTGTGAAAAATTACTCAAAATTAAACAGCGTTGCAACGCAATAAGAAAGACAGACAGACAGACAGACATTTTATTTCAATCAAAAAGGCTTATAAGCCCATGATGACATAATACAGCATATTTACAAGATAACGAACAGTGCATATGTTAAAATAAAAACATTATCACAATATAATTATGACTACAGGAGAAGGTCATAATAACAACTTATTAATAAGAAACACATGCTTTTGATATTATTTTTTAATCACATGTTACTTACTATATATGGTCACATACATATGTGAGGGTCTTCCGATTCTATATATTATGATAAAGATTTACGTTATTTTGAAAATTCGGCCCTTATGCTACTGTGGCGTGGATATTTTCGAGGCATTGGTTATCGCGATGACCTAATAGGTTAATTTCTAATTCATTAAAACCTGAATTAATGAAGTTTTTTTAACACTGCGTATTTTTTTATCATCTTCTGTGCTAGAACAGTTACAGAAGAAAATTAGAAGGTATAAGTATATAAAGCTATGTCAAATGAAATATCTTTATATCTTTTAATAGAAGAATTATGTTGTTAGACATTGGTAGATTCTCGAAAGAGTTGTTACATAGAATGTCTCAATATATTATTTTTTGCGTCAGATATATAGCTTATACACTTTAAATTTTGGTATTGTTTAAAAAAAAGATAGACAGAACAATCGT